AATTCGAGACAAGGCGTCTGCGACTACATTGTTTGCTCCAGAAATATGTTGTATGTCTGAAGTAAACTGCGAAATGTAGTCGAGTTGTCGAGACTCTCGCGGTGAGTACTTGTCTGAAGATGAATTTAAAGAGAAGGTAAGAGGTTTGTGATCGGTAAAAAGCGTGAATTCTCTTCCTTCGATGGAATGTTGAAAATGCCGTACAGCACAATACATAGCTAGGAGTTCCCTACCGAACGTGCTGTACCTAGATTCAGCGTCTAGCAACCGTCTCGAGAAAAATCCTAAAGGTTGCCACGAGTTGTTAACCCATTGTTGTAAGACTGCTCCGATTGCTGAGTCGGATGCGTCTACGGCGATACTAATGGGCGCTTGACTGTCCTGATGAGCAAGCAAGGTTGCTTTAGCGATGTGCTCCTTAACTGTGGAAAATGCTTTACGGGCTGTGTCGTCTAAACTAATTGATTTCGCATTTCCACGAAGCTGATCGGTTAACGGTTTCATTAGGGATGCGCATTTAGGTATGAACCGTCTATAGAAACTTACGAGTCCGTTAAAAGTTCGCAACTGCTTGATCGTGGTCGGTTCTGGGTAATCCAGAATGGCCGCCACTTTGCTCCTAAGGGGTCGGATGCCTTGGGCATCAATGGTGTGTCCTAAGAAGTCTAAGCAGTTAGTTCCGATTTGGCATTTCTGAATGTTGACAGTAATGCCATGCCTTTGAAGTCGATCGAAAACAATGTCCAGATGCTTGAGATGCGATTCTCTGTCCGGACTTGCTATTAGACAGTCATCAACATACGCATGTACGAAGTTGAGACCTCGGAAGACGTCGTCTATAAACCTTTGGAAGGTTTGAGCCGCGTTTCTTAAACCAAAAGGCATTCGTAGAAATTCGTAAAGACCGAAGGGAGTGATGATGGCGGTTTTAGGAATGTCGTCAGTTGCCATCGGGATTTGGTTATAAGCTTTAACCAAGTCGATTTTCGAAAAGACAGTTGTACCTTTCAAGGTAGCTGTCAAATCGTGAATATGAGGCAGCGGGTAACGATCGGGAATGGTTTTAGCATTCAGACGCCGATAATCACCAGTTGGCCGCCAATCATTGCTGTCCTTTTTAGGGACCATGTGCAATGGGGATGCCCATGGACTATTCGATGGTCGAATTATTCCTAGGTCCATCATGTGGTTGAATTCGTTTTTAGCTAACCTAAGTTTTTCGGGAGCGAGTCTTCGGGCTTTCGAAAATACAGGTGGTCCTGTAGTCGAGATGTGATGTGTAACATTGCTGGTTACACAAGGTAATTTCGATTGCGATTGGTATATCCCGGGGTATTTGTCGAGTACTGCTTGGTACAAGGGGTCTATGGCGTGCTTAATCGTGATTGGGGATAACCTGCAACCAGAACAAGGAGTTACGCAAACGGACAACTTAGTGTTTCCGTCTATTAACCTTCGTGCGCGTGTGTCGATGAGTAGATTGTGGTGTTGTAACAGGTCAATACCAATGATTGGCATAGAGACATCTGCAACCACGAAAATCCAGTGTATGGGTTTACGTAAACCCACGTTAAGGTAGACGTACCTTTTACCGTAAGTAGCGATCGGTTTTCCGTTTGCCGCCTGTAAACTTAAAACAGACTCGCGAAGTCTGTCGTCGAGATTTGCTGGAAGAACGCTAACTTCTGCGCCAGTGTCGACGAGGTAGCGAACTTTCGTAGTCACATCCGTGACATATAAGAGGCGGCTGTGTTCGCCGGCTACGGTTGCCGTTAACGCGTGCCGGCTGGGAAGTTTCCCGAAATCTTATTCGTGTCACTCGATTTTGGGGTCGGATAATTGCAAGGTTTCCTGCAGTTTCTGGAAAACTTACCGTACTGGTTATGATACCAGCACCAGTCGGGATTGTCTGTCTCTCGTGGTCGAGAGCCAGATCGCTTACGTGAGGCACTTCTACGCGGGGTTTTTGACCGACTACGGTCATTGCGAACTCTAAGATATCGTGTAAGCGTGTGACATAGTTCGGCCATGTCAGTCGAGGTCGATTGGGGTTTTTCTTTGACGGAAAAAACCTCGGCCTTAGAAGATCTAGTGATTTCCAAGATTCGATCGGCAGATGCAGCTAGTTCATCTATGGCATTGTTTTGAAATGAAACAAGCACTGCCTGCACCTGTTGAGGGAGTTTAGACAAGAAAAGTTGTCTAAATAGGCCATCATCGAAAGTTCGTTGGCCGATAACTTCTCTCATTCTAAGCAACATGTCCGTCGCAGAACCATGTTGCAAGTCGATATTGTTAAGGAGTTGGTCTAACCGTTGTCGATCAGTTAGGTCTCCTCGTTTTAAAATCGATAGCTTAAGCGATTCGTAAGGTTCGGAAACATCACTAGTAAACATACTAGGTGTTACGTACCTGTTAAACTCGCGCGGTAACGCCTTAACTACCGCGAGGAAACGTGTGCGCGAGTCCGTGATTCCGTGCATGCAAAAATCGGCTTCTGCATAGCAGAACCAGGACTCGATATTGTCGGGCCAAAATGGCGTTAATTGAATCGAAATAGGGGGAATAGACTTTAACTTAAAAACCTTGGGTGAGTGTTCCGTCATAGTAATATAGCTAACGAAAATGTCTAATTAAAATATATCCGGAAAAAAAAAATTCGCGAAAAAAGTATATCACAATATATAAAATTCAAATAAAGAATAACAATGAATAATAATGTTCCAAAATGGAACAGACTCACGGTATATTGACTTGGTGTACCAGATCACGTCGGTCTCACCAATGATGATGCAACGGATATTCTAGTTTTACAACTAGATACCAGTAGCACCTTCTAAATTCGGTTGTTTCCAGTCAGATAGAAAATCAGAAGTCAAACGAGAAGAGGCAGGAAAGATATATTTGATTCGTTACCAATATATCGAGGACCTTTTCTATGAGCTGGCTAATGAAACGTAGGAGCTGTGTCCCACGCAGTATTGAAACGCGATCTGGTGCGGATGCATGACCGAAAGCCTTCAGCTAAACAAGTCCACTTAAACAACGTGGTCAGCATCCAATGTCGAACACTTAATGAGCTATTGATTTTGGGGAATTATTTACAGCTACAGCATAACTACTTCGATTGTTTTCACCATTTCCTAGGATCTCATGGAACTGAGCAAAAGGCAATAGCAAGTGACGTTTAGATCAGTTTGTTGGATGTGAAGTACTATGTTTTTTTATTCCAATGACAAGATATTACTCGTTATAGACAATAATTTTATATACTGACGATTCTGGTTCTTCCTCGATTATTTTCTGTCTTGTGGAATGGTTACATTTAAACAAGTTATTGTGACCTGTTTAGTAGTGATAACAGATTACCAATAATAATTTATCGCTTATTTGGTAAGGGTATTCAGCAAAACTGAATTCGGAATATATGAAGATTTTCAATAGATAATTTTCTTAGAAAATTAATCTTGAATTGTTTTAAAAATCATATATCTAAGACCAACATTGAAAACCTGGAATCACTGGACGACCGTTTCGTCCTGGTACGAGACTCCTCAGAAGTGCAGCTCCACGGCCCCACACGCGTGACTCGAACCCAGGACCTTCAGTCTCGCGCGCAAACAATTAACCTCCAGACCAATGACTCTGGATCTGATGGTGTTATTGTCTATTTCTAGTGAAAAGCCGTGGCCAGTGGAGTAAAATACGTGTCGAATGTGAAACATTTATCCACTTCAGACAATGGAGGAAGGGCTGAGCAAGATTGTGGATCGATTGAAATTAGATATTAACGTCTTTAGAGGTTAAGAGTTCGCTCGTTAGACTGAAGGTCTTGGGTCCGAGTCACTCGTGCTTGATCGTGGATGCACATTGCTGAGGAGTCCTATGAGACTCTAATGGGAACTAACTTGTTTTCTGAGATTTTATGAACTCCTAAGGGTTTAAATGTTATTGAACAGGAAATTTCCATCAGTTATTGTTGAATGCAAACGCCGAACAGTCGAACATATTATTATTTTGTAAGAACTAGTTTGAAATATGAATTGTACAGGATAACTGTTAGGTTAAGAAGGAAGAATGCATTTGTAAAATGTCAGTTAATGAATTTGTTAGGTTATTTCTAAAATTATCTACAGATGATTAATATAGTAGAAACAGTAAGGATAAAAGTAACTGAATAGAGTTTATCGCATTTGACCGCAACATGCAGTTTGCATTCATGACATGAACAAACAAGTGTCGGTGAATGTCTGATTTTGAAATATGCTCATGAAACAATTTTGAAAAGAATCGGAAAACATGTGATGTAAATATAATGTCTATGATAGTTCTAAAAAATCGTGAAAATTGATTGAAATTAGATTTTAATAGTTTGAAGAATAGGTGACTGGCAACTAATTTACAAATTTATCAAATATTCAAGAGCATCTATGTGTCTTTGAATGCCGATTGACAGTACTATATGTTAGGATCTATTCTATTTATGGATACTGAATACTATTCAGTTTAGTTTATCGGAAATCTTATCATTGATCATTGTAAATTAGGCATATAACAATCAGTATGTCTAGATATGGATTTAAATTTATTTTTAGCGTCGCTGACTTTTTCTGGCATCTAGTAATACTAGCGATTTTGTTAAGTTATAATATATCCCTGAAGCAAAGTTTTCTAGTGGTTTAGATGCTAAATGATTAAGTAACAGTTGAACATTTCTATATTGTTAAGAGTCATCCTCAGAAATTTCATTGGAAGAGTTCTACATGTCAAATATTCTCATGATTAACCTATACATTAATTTTCTAAATTTTCAGTTCATCGTACAAGTTTTTTTTAATCATTTAATCACAAAGATTTGATGAAACCTATCCATATTTATCAGATACTTTAACCCACCTCCACAATCTCATATGAGAAAACATTTTCAACCAATAATAAAAAAAATACTTTTTGTTTCTTTCAAAAAAAGACAGCTGATCGTTAATTGGTGGATTAACAAATTTAAGTCCTCTGAAAGGAGTTGTTGAGAAATTCGTTTTTCTACTACTCATTCAGAAATAACAAAGTTATTTACATTTATTGTTAATTACTTTACAAATGATTTGGTCAAACAAAATAACTATTATTGGTTACGTTTTACTATTTACTATTATACTATTCACTGAATGTCTGCCTCAGTCTAAAGGAAATCAAATCATTCCTGGTTACTCTGCGTAAGTTACTATTAATGACAATCACTTTTATTTATTAGTTTCTAAAAAAAACATTCACCGAGAATGTAGTTTTTGTTGCCAATTGATGTCAAATAGATAGCCTATTAATACCAGAAAGCTGTGGACATTAGGTTGATCATTGAATGAAACAACTTCCCAATATTTCGCGACTTAGTGATTCGCTAGTTGACATTACTCCTTGATAAAAATTATCATCGGAACATACAATATGTTTCTAATTCTTTTACTTAAGACTTATTCTAGTAGTTTAAAGATAAAGTTTGCACTTATTATTGGATTGGTGTTTTATTCTTTACAATGATGTTGAACTTAACATATTCACAAAAGATAACACCATAGCAAAAAATGTAAATCTATTATTGTAGACTTTATTTAAATTGTGCTTATATCATGCTTATTTAAGAAAGAAGAGTGCTCTTCTTTTATGAACCAATGAATTGTTAAAATGACATTTATGCAATATATGACCAATCTTTTACTGTTTAATAATTTAAATATTCTCAGTCTAATTTTTAAAAAAATATCTAGTCTAAACATTAGGTATAACCACCAATTTTCTATTAGGCTGTTTTACTTAATTAGGACTGTTACTCCTCGTGGAAGAGAATAGGCCGCCCACCAACACTCTCCATTCAACCCTATCCTTGGAAATCCTTTCCAATTGATATTTGTCATTTTCACGTCTCTTTCCAATTCCGGATGTAGTGTGTTCTTTGGCCTTCCTCTCTCTTGTTTCCCTTCAGTATTCCAAGTTCGGGCTCGCCTCACGATGCAGTTTGGTGATTCCAGATAAGGCTGTATAATTCCAATTAAATCAATTTATATTCAAAATGTTTAAATTTTTGCTGTTAGCAGAATCAAAGTATAAGTAACATGAATGAAAAGAAAGTAATGATGATAAAAGTGACTTGAAAAGACATGCATGTGTTTATCCAGTCGTCGTTAGAAATCATGTCGTATCGGTTACAGTAAGATAAGTGTTGGAATTATATCCAGATAAATTTCTAAAATTTCTCAATAATGAATGACACCATCTCATCAAACTGTATCATCTTCAAAGTCAGACTAAATTCAGTATTTGTTATCCTTAATAATAGTGAGAATTAGAGTACATAGGTACATTCAATAAAAAAATGTTAATTTTTTTTTCCATTTTACCTAGAAAAAAGTATGGTCTAGCACGATTATTAACTTTCTTTGAATAAATATTTCTTGCAAAACTTTACTACTATATATATATATATAGTAGATGAATCTATTTCTTATTTTCTCGTACAATCTTCTGTTTCACGAGTTTATACCCTCTTCTCGAATCACAGTATTTATGCTTACTTTTCTCTACAACCACAGATACTATCAGTTCATCACTTCTCTGGAATTTTTCTCAGTAATTCTTCCTCGCTGCATTAATATTGTCATGACAACTTGATTCAATGCATATATGTACCAGGCTCTATGTCGTTAATAACTAGCTGACTGACTGTTGGGTATATAATTTTCTTTCTCGGATTTAATGTGGATGACATTCTATGATAAATAAATTTTATTATTCATTAATAATACTTTGTTATTTTTCTAATGAGTCCCAAAGTTGAAAGAGATTTCTGTTCGGTGTCTCTTGATTTTCAATAATTCTCAAAGGTAGTATCGAATAATGATAAAGTTTCTCTTTAAATATCATCTTGATTTAAATATGATGTCCACTAAGACAATTGAGCTTTTTTTTCACTAGTTTGTTAACTGGTAAAAGTATTTTGGACGGAAGTCTTGAATACACTGACATAGTTCATTGTGACTTATCCTCATAACATTCCAGATTATTTTATTTTAGCGGAAAGCTGAGTAAAAACATAGCAGTTGAATCAGAGTTGTTAAGATCAGCTTTTCTTATAAAACTATAGCTGTGTTAATTATATATTTGTTTAAAATGTTAAATATGCAACCAAATCAAGTATAAAACAGGTTTTACCTGTAGCAGTTGGTGGTCGTCGAGTGCTATTGCCAACTGACTAAAGTTAGATATAAGAACCATTAATGGTCTAGGTATTAAAAAATCTTTTATAAACTTTCAGGTTTTGGGTTTAATCTGTTTAGCAGTTATCTATCCACACTTCTGAGAAATTTTATACTTAAATGAAAAATCTATCGAATACTCTTCGACTTTTAGTAACTTTCTAGCTAAAGTCAGTTGTTGGCATAGATAATAAAGATTTAATAAACAAGATTAAATTCACTTTATCTGAATTTCGAGAAGTAAACTGATCTGTAAGTTTTCTATACGGAGCTTTATTACTGAATTGAAAAAAACTTATACTTTATTATGGGATTTCTATGAATTACAAGCAGTAACATATATTCCATCTACTTTGTGATCTGTCAACTATGTGTGTTTGACAAAGATATACACAATTTAGAAAAAAACAAGCTATTATAGATCAGTAATCGACTGTGCGATTCTTTAGATTTTGAGGTGATAAATCAAAAATATTGTGTCTGTATTAAGATTGGCATTCATTGTGATACAAATGTATCGTGGTAACACGTTTATTTAATTCTCATTCTAGTCACCAAAATGTAATGTTGTTACACATTCTAAATACTAAGTCAATTTCTATGCGAATTATGGAATAAATAAAAATAAAAGGCTGTGAGGTGAATTAAATTAGTAACGGATCAATCGGGAAATGCTGATTATTTATATATTTTAAAAAGATCCTATGTGATGTGGATAGATGTGTAAGAAAACATAGAAAGAATATTAATTTTATTCAGTAGTATGTATAATAAATCACTAATAATTAATAAATAAACTGTTTAACAATATAAAAATAGGCAATTGAACACCTATTCCGTTAAATAAGACAACAGTATATATCTAACGACTAATAGTTGAGAAGAATTTGGCTAGAATTAAGTGGTGTTTATCATGTTTTTTCTCTTTGGATGACAAATTATAGTTTTTATTTGAGGCCACATAAATTTGACGTCAGGAAAATCATCTAAACATGAATGAAGTACAATTCATCGACTTCTTCATCATTAAAATGAACAACATAAAAACTTAGCTTCACCAGTTTCACTGATAACTAAAGTTAGTATTGCTTATCCATTAGATCGGTTAATCATTTGTTGTGACATTGAACTCCAAATATATATATATGAAATTTTAGAATTAGAAGGAAAAAAAATCTTTGAAACATACGTACATATATATGATGTGATCACGATACTGAGTATGTTTAGAATGAGAGGGAATGTATTATATTACATGATTATGACCTTAAGAACAGAATATTTTCAGATTTTTTTCTTGACATAATTATAATGGAACTTTATCAAAAAGGTTCATTTTACATTAAACTAATTGTTTTTGAACTTTGTTACTATTTCGATTTTCTTATTTGAACGTTGGCTTTAACAACTAGTCAATCTGTTAAGTTTTGAACAACATACAAAATAAGCTAAGTTTCTTTTTGAAATCTTATGAACAAATATTAGTTCATTTTGTGTCAAGATAATCAAATCGATTAATTTTATCATGACATCAGATGAAATGCTTGTTTTATAAACTAAGTAATTCCAAGGATATTGACTTTTCCAAGTTAATCTATGATTTTACAATGATAATTTCATATACAATGTCGTTGATAATGAATGAGACACTTTCTTTTGAATTTAGTTTAAGTAGCCAATTTAATAGTTAACCATAAATCAGATGTTTAGAAGTTGCAGTATTTCAATATTTAGTCAACTATTATATTCATTTGAAAAATATATATCCACCTGTTAAGAATGTCACTATTACTTATCTGAATAGTTTATTAAGTCAGTATTTGATTATTATTACTGATATTGTTGGTCAATATGATAGTTTACCGTTAATTCAAAGAACATACTCTTAGCCAATCAAAGATATGTATGTGTTGGCATTTTGTTGAAAACTATGCTCATCTATCATTATTACTAACAACTAAAAAAATATTCAATGTCTAAAGTTGAAAGCATGAGTCAATTAAAACTAGACCACCAAGGAAAACCTGGAAGTACTGGACGGCCGTTTCTTCCTTTTGTGGGACTCCTCAGCAGTGCGCACCCACGATCTCGCCCCGAGGGATTCGAACCCACACTTGGACGAAACGGCCATCCAGTGCCTCCAGGTTTTCCATAGTGGTCTAGCTTCAATTGACTCATGATTTCAACTTTGAAATATACTGAATTCTCCACAAATCCCCTTCTAATTATATTCAATCATTTATGTATAAAATAATATTGTTGATTAATAAATCTTATATATCACTATCTATCTATCTCATCTGTCTATTTTTGTTTTAATCATTTTCATATTTAAGTTCAACTTTCTATGAATAAAATATAATATTAGTAACCATAACTTTTCTTTATCATGGATAAAGATCAATAAAAAAAACAATGGTGAATTAAATTCTGTTCAATAACTTAATCCCGTTTTTTTAAAGTTTGTTCAAGTGACGTATTCATCTTTTACAAAATTCTATTTTTATTGTATTAATCATTTACTATCTCGTCAAATTAATAAGTCATTATATAATTACTCGAAAATTGACCTAATTGTGTCAGTTTTCATGAATATATAAACAATAAGAAGAAATTTAAGTGATTGTTCCAAAACTTTACTTTATTGACATATTCACTAATTAGTTGGAAGAGAATAAACCAGATTCTAGTGGAATGAGAAATCAGGAAAAAGCGCTGGAAGTGAATAGGACACACGTTGAGGAAAGCATCTAACTGCGTCACAAGGCAAGCTCTCACTTCGAATCCTCAAGGTCAAAGGAGAAGAGGAAGACCAAAGAACACATAACCCCAGAAATGGAGACAGAAATGAGAAAAATGAACAACAATTGAATAGAACTAGAAAGGAAGGCTTAAGACAGAGTGTGTTGGATCAATTGGGGGTAATAGGCGTAAGTAAGAAAGTAAATCACTACTTAATGGATCGGAAAAATAAGTATTAAGAAAACGTATTATGTATTTTAATTCACATGTTTACTGATTAAGGTTTTCTGTTGATTTATGATTTTTATGGTGATCAGATTTTGAACGCGAGAATCGTATTGTTGATGAGTCGTTTATCCTAAGATTTTAGTCTTTGAAATTTCAGTCATTCTCTAGCATAACCAGGCTATTTTTTATGATCGGCTTATATCAATTTTACACTCAATTATGATATCCCCTAAAACTTATGTAAATTGTAAAAATCGAAACAATAAGTTATGAATGATTGTTGTTTGAGGGAATAATGTTTCGATCATGAGGACTGATAATAATAGAAAATACATATTTCCGGTAGGTTCAGAAGTCCAGTTTTTAACCTTTTGTTGACTATGACCATTATGAATCCAAGTATAGAATAAGTTTCCTGAAATTCTTATAGGAGTATTCACATTATTGTTTGTGGTAGTAAACAGATCCCAAAAAATTGCTAGATATAATATTTGAATATTTGAATTTTACAATCTTCAATACAAAGCATCGTTTCTTAATTAGCCTAAAAATTCCAGATTAACTTAAATTATGGACATGGTGTATTTTTTCAAATGAAATGGGCTACCATGATAAGTTCATCAACTTACGGTCATACAAATTGATCGCGTGTGAGATAAAATGCTTGGCAATTATCAAATGCTTAGGTTAATAATTCTAAAGTAATTATACTTTTTTTGAATTTGCTTATATTATGTGTTAGTATCACGTAGGACTTTTGAAGGTTGGAATGTTTTTTATGTGTTCCAATACTCCTAGTAAAAATAGTCATTTTGGAAAACTAATAATCATGGGTTTTATTGTAAGCTATGTATTTGAAACTATAAGATTCAGAATAATATTTATTTGATTATGCTTTTAATCATAGGATGACATCGGCTAAAAAACGCAGTGAATATCAGGATGAATTAGATAGTTATTTTGTTACCAAAAGGGGTTTTTGTGGAGATTTAGTATTTTCATAATTGAAATCATGAGTCAATTGAAGCTAGACCACCATGGAAAACCTGGAAGCACTGGACGGCCGTTTTGTCCTATTGTGGGACTCCTCATAAGTGCGCATTTACGACCTCGCCTCGCGGGATTCGAACCCAGGACCCACCAGTCTTGCCCCAGTTATTTTGTCTTTATCAGTGAAGTACCACAATCTCACAAGGGATAAAACTAAGACCTTTTAAATCTGAAATTGTAAGCACTATGACTATATTCATATTTAAATCTTTGATTTTAAACATAATTTCCTCAAATATACATTTCGAAGATATTCATTGATTTGATTTTAAATAAATAATTCTAATTGTAGAAGTTTTCAAGGGTATTAAAGTAAAAGCTATGCACATAACAAATTACAACTTCTTCTAGAAAAATCCTAATGGAAAGTCTTAAGTGTTTCTCTTTTTTTTCTTTTCTCTTTTAATTTCTGAAACATCTTTCATACTTCACAATCTTAAACTGTTCGTAATTACTTGTTTAAGATCATTATTTTGTTTTTTCTAAAATGAAACAATTTTTACGATCACATTATAATTTACTTTATTGTATGTACAAACTGTTTTTAAGTAATATATGCTTTTAATCTTTATTAATAATTCAAATGTATTGCATTAAAATCACTTTGTTCAACACATTTAAAAGTGTCATATCGATAATTACATATTATTCTTAGTGTTTTCTTCATTGTTACTATGATAAATCTTTTAGATGGCTAAAAGACTGATCACTGTCACAAGAAACTTGTTATAATCCTATGTAAAGTTAATTGAATCATTAATAATTTGAATTATTTCAAATAATCCTTTCTCGAACAGTCTTGTAATATAGATATTTCTTAGTCAAAACATTTTTAAAAAGTTCAATTTAAACTTATTCTACTAAGTCCCCAAATGCCCTGGTACGGTCGAGAGTGAGGAGAGTCCACTCTCCCTCTCGAAATGCTCTCACATAGCCACGCGTATATAGCATCTGACAGGAAAGTCCTACTCACTGCCTTCTCGTGGCGGGGGTGCTGTTTACGAGATTGAGAGGACGAAAAGAGAATGTCCGGCGCTTCAACCAGGTTAGTGGACACGGAAAGTTCACCTAGGGGAGTTGAAAAACCCGTATTCACGATGCTCCACAGCCTCGTGGATCAGACCTTCAGGTCAAAGGCTCCGGGTGTGGTGCCCTGAGAAAACCATCTACTTCAATTTGGGCACCTGGCAAGTATCACAACCCTCACACAAATCAAATGAGATTTGTGTGGCGCATATATATATATTTGGTGACCCTTGGTATCAATATTTATGTGTTTAAATAAATAAATAAGTCTACCGTCAATTTCGGATTTGGATTGAGTTAAGAGACTTCAACGGGGCAGTTAATTCGAATAAATAAAAATGATTGTAAGTTCTTAGTTTAAATGGTAGTTATAAACAATGTTAGTTGAAAGGGATCGAAATCAAACCTGAATTGAAGCTGAATCTCGTAGATTAGTTGGTATATATGCAACTCAGTAACTAAGGATTATTATTTTCAGTAATATCTTTTTAGTTTCATTTAATATATCTGTATACAAGGGTAAATCCGACAACCTGAAGCTATCCTTGGTATTTTAAAGTCGAATTCACGATTTAATTTAAGCTTTAGTCAATCGAAGCTAGACCACCATGGAAAACCTGGAACCACTGGACGGCCGTTTCGTCCTATTGTGGGACTTCTCAGCAGTGCGTATCCACGTTCCCGCCTCACGAGATTCGAACCCAGGATCTATCGGTCTTGCGCCTGAGCGCTTAGCCACTGAGCCGACATTCGATGGTGTTTATGTCTAACTTCAACCAATCCACGAAATCGAGCAACCATTCACCAATGTCTTTAGTGAGTTGATATCTCTCAACATACCTGGTTGAACTCTATTGGTCACTGCTTCTCACTAGAACTCTAGTGCTTCCCGATTTTCCATGGTGGTCTAGCTTCAATTGATTCATGATCTAAAATATATAAAATTACTAGAATCTTCACAAAACCCCCTTCTGAAAATGATTTATTGTCAGTGTTTAATGATAGTTTCATCTACTATAATAAGAGTGATATGGTGAGTGTTTTTATATATTAACTTGATTGATACGAGAAACATAAGAATTCGAAACACAATGAAAATTATACCTGTATATTTAAATGCCAGGGATATTTTAAATAAATATTCATGAAAGAAGTAATTAGAATCACCGCATTCTGTATAAATTTTAATGTAACAACATTGCAAATAGTAAATAATTAAGACAGCGTAATCAACCGACATAACTGTATATTCTGTTTCATTAAAAAAAAATAAAAAACAACGCTAAATATTTGAAAAATTGTTGTTTTAATTAATTAATTTGATTGGCTCCATTTATAATTTGAAGTTTATTTACTTTTTTCATTTTGTTTCATAATTCTTTTATTAGATATGAATATTTAAATGAACCAAAGAAACGTATGTTGAATGGACTTAGATTTCAAGAATTACTTCGTTTACAAAAATTAAAAGATAGTGCCAAATGGCTTGAAGATCTGTAAGTCCATATGACAATGTCATTTTAATATATAATTGTACTCGTTTATCATTTGTTAAAAAAATATTACCAGAAGGGGATTTTGTAGAGATTTCAGTAATTTTATGGTTGAAATCATGAGTCAATTGAAGCTAGACTACCATGGATGCTCAATGCTGAGGAGTCTCACAATAGGACGAAACAGCTGTCCAGTGCTTCCAGGTTTTCCATGGTGGTCTAAAAGGAAAATGATTTTTTATAAAAATAATTAGTTTTATCCAAAATAAAAACTCCAATTTCAAAGGGTTTCTGACTGCTTAAAAGCGGTCTCTCTATAAGTACACATAAGTTGATGATGTTCCATAAAGTACAGATTCATAAATTTACGGTGTTTTCAAGAAATATATTCATCCTAATATAAGACAATTAATAACCCCTTGTATCGTTATGTCATCACATAGCTATCGTTAGTTTATTTGTAACAATTAATGAGTTAATTTTTTTATTATTGGTAAATAGTAACAAAATAAATATGACTGTAAATTCACTTGATATTGTTTACTTGAATCTTTCCATTGATATTTAGGACTGCGACTGATCAGTCTCTTCTTGTCATGTGTTAGCTATAAGTACAATTCAATAAATTCAATATCTATGTACTTTTACGTATGTTTAGGTATCATAGAAAAATAGAAATGTTGCGCTACTCAAAAGTGAATTTATTTCGACAGATGATTTTAAAAAATAAACATTATTTTTGATTCTCAACAGAAGTTTTCAATACACGAAAGCCTAGTCACTATAGTCTCTATTTTGTGACTACTATTCATGTATGTAATTGTTGTTACTATCACTATGGTCACAGTAATAAAATTTTTGTTTTATTGCCATTTAAGAAAAACCTATTTATTTATACTACTGCTTCAAGAACAAAAGTTTTAATGCAAACAGGTGTATTATATTTCTTCATTTTATACATTAGGTGTTAACGAGTTAGTTATATGATTTGAAAACATTATTGTATATTTTTTAAGTTTTCCAGTGTTTATTTTATTTCCTTACTTATTTCTTTCTTTTAATTTACTTTTATTTTAGTGGGAAACGTTCCTTTATTTATGGAGTGGATTCATTAGCTGATGATGAATATGATTGAATTGAACCTTAATATTGACGCCACCGACCAAAATTACTAAAAAAACAAACTTTTGCCAAAGAGTTAACAAATGTAGTACAAATTGCTACGATATTTGTAAATGATTTTATTTATAATAAGTTTGATAAAGAATAACAGTTTTGTGTAAAAGTGAATGAGGCTCAAATTTGTTCTATGGTTTCATGTTTTAGGAGGCGGCTAGTCTGGTAGCGGCGATCCTCCAGTTGCTTTTGATCAAGTTACTATAAGTAAGAACGTGCAAAGGAAATTAACAATAGAAACGAAACTTCTAGAATCTCTTTATATTGGTGAAGACATGGTTTTTCAATCGCTATCCGAGATCACCTTGAGGTTTCCATCTCATAATGATTTTTATAGACATACTGATGGTGTATCGATTAAGTTTGATATTGATCTCTTTTTCGTCAATTATTTTATCAGAAAATAGGTTTATGTTGTGCTCCATTCATTAGTCGACATTTTAAAGTTACAAAAGACGTATCAGAACAATATTTCATCATTTGATATGAAAGTAGCAAACCTTATGACACCATTTGTGAGTTCAGAAACTGTCCCTAATAAACTAACCTCATACCGTAATCGAAATGAAATTCTGAATTTCAATTCCTAAAGAATAATATCTAGAAAGTTAACCCGAAATGAGAAGTCTACGAATTTTTGAATTTCGGTCCCACCAAATATGAAGAACGCCACTATTCTCTGTTCATTTTCGAGGACTGAGCGAATATTCATTCCGACGGAAGTTGATGACGTTTTGGATAAATTCTGACAAATCTTCGTAAAAAAATAACTATAAATCTATGTGCTCCGATAGAAACTTTTAAGAAAAACAATCATTCAGATAATCCATCTTATATTCTATGGGAGTAACATAACTGAAACCCTAAGGGAGATACCTTTTAGCTCTTTAACTATTATATTATATTTTATAAAGCCTCTTATTATATCCTCTAGCTAGTCTTTGATTCTTGGATGTACAGAATCCGGTAATGAGCCAAATCAATGATTTTATAGTTAATATAATGAGTTATAATATATGTAAGCTAACACTGATTCATAGGCCTGAACGTTGATTCAAACTCTAAGCTTTATCAGTTGGGAACTGAAAGTTCAAATCTAGATGAAATAAGTGTGGAAAGTTAAGCGTTTGAAGATAGTAGAAGATGAAACAGAAAATAATTTCAAAGTATAATGTCCAGTGTTTATCTGGTTATACCTTAATTTGTTTACTTTAAGTAAAATACTTAAAGGCAACTAGGTAAGAAGTTTACTCGCTACTTTCAAATGAATTGATTTTTGTAGGTATACACACCATACATTTGTTTGAAAATATGCAGTTGTCCATCTGTTTTTAGCCTATTAAAACAAAACTATTTAAAAAAAGCATGCTTATCTTTCCGAATCCCTGTGTTTCTGATATATTTCAGACCCACCAATTATTATTTTATTTGTAATTTTGAGTAATCCTTTTCCCTAATGTATTATCACTTTTATTATTGTAGTACTTCATTTCTATGTATATATTTACGTTAACAACTTCGCTTCCTTCCTTAGTAGAATATATTTTTCTTCTTGCCTAACAGTTGATCACTCAATTAAAATGAATTTTGTGTTTTCTAACATTTTTTAATATCTTTTATTTCAAAGCTTTGACTGTCAAATTTGTGTTTATATTCAGGTATCCTGTGTGTGAATTAAGCTTTATACTAATATTCGCATACATAAACTATCCATTTCCCAATATGATATTGTGTAGATGGCATATAAATTGAAAATACGTTTTTATCGTCAACCGATATCATGTCGCATGAAGCTAATGAAAAATAGATAATCTGTTTTATTGCACAAAAGTGTTATATCGATTGTGTGCGTTCTTGCCCAGTTGATATATATCAATCCTGTTCTCTGCCTAGCCCAGTCATTTAAGTCTACAACACCAATAACAGCCTCTGCAATATGAATCATTATTCTCAAACATACTGGGTTTATATACCAAACAAACTGACCACATCGTACCATAAAATAGAAAATAACAGTTGTACAAGATTTGGCCAAATGTAGCTTTGAATAGGGGAACAGTAATTATTGGACTGGGGATAATTCGAGAATGGTAAATTGTGTAATAATAGTTCATAGGTCAAAATAAAGCTTATGATAAGAGGAACATGAACAAGTATAGTTTAGTTACTTAACAGTTTTACAATAGGAAACATATGTATATATATCTACAAAAAGAGTGGCTAATGTTTGATCTGTTTATATCCAAATGCGAGTAAGTAGATAGTGCAAATTTCATACTCCCTGTAATTTATTTCAATGTGGAATTGTCTGACCTACAAACATGAAGTGATTTTAAAATTTGCAGATAATTAAGGAGTTTCCTTGCGGTTCCTTTGAAAAACATGTTTTTGAAGTTTAATTCATTACTGTTAGATATTAACGACCAATATACATTCTTACTGTAGAGTGAATTCTTTCAACAAATCACACTTAACCTTCCAACATACTAACACAAAAATGGGTCACATTACTTTAAAAATTAATGTCCAGTTATTCTGTACAAAGCATTCCTAATTTTCTACCATCTAAATGATCATGTAAATGTCCGACAGTATATTTTTGATTACACAGAGTAGTATGAACTGTGTTATTTTACCTGTAATTTTGTCATGTGTAATAGTACAGTAGTGAGTCTATATGAAGTTTTATTTCATATTGACAAATCGATGTTTCGCAGTATTCAATCATATTTTATTTGCATAACACTCTGCAAAGTATTGTGAATAATTTATTAATATATCACTTTTCTAAGCATAATATAGTTTAGATTACCGAAATTCTTCGAGTATTTTCAGTGGTAATTAATAAATAAAAGTCTTACTTCAATGTAATTGAAGTTTTTTAAAAATTGAATAAAAAGAGTTACATCATTCAATAAAGTAATCAACAATTGTCAAGAGCTTACATTACGTATTAGTTTCGGAAGTAACAAAAGATAATAATCTGTCGAATAAAAGATAAAGATAACTGTCTTCTTAGTAAAGAAGGAGAAGGTAATAATTAGCAATTATAATTTGTAACATTCAAAGGGGTGCCCATACCATGAAAGAATTAAGAATTGAATGTGACCCTTCTGTACACAGAGTTTGAGTTTCAAATGGTGAATTGTTATAGGCTTGTCTGTGCATAACTTTCTCATCCAAACATTTTTCGAGCCAGTTCTTATTTTGTGGAAAATTTCGAAAGCAAATTCGCGTAATGGGGTGTGACCTGAATTGACCATGTGTTCGAGAACTGAGCTACTGAATAATTTGCATACTATAGAGGGTAGTACTTTGTGCACTCTCCGTAAGGCCCACGTAGCTTGCTCCGCAAGATTGAGCAAACTGGTATATGTGCACTAATGACAAAAGAAGGCATTTTATCCTTGGCACTTCCCTGAATCAGTTTCTTGATAGACATAACATTCCGGAGCTCTGTTGAATTAAAAGTCTATATTAGGATATGGATAATCTGTTCTTTAATATCTCAGCTGCTATATCTCCCTTGAATTTAATGTTCAAGAGTAAAACTTTCTTCAGAAATGTAGGAGTTCTTTAACTTGACCTTTTGGTTTTATATTACTTTCAATGAACTTGGGTAGAAGCTATTCTCCAAAAATGTTCATCGGATTATATTCAGCTCACCGTCAAGTGTGTCTTCAACGCATATTCGTCTGGTTCTTGATGATAAAGAATGAATTAGATTTCTCTTATTACTACGCGGCACCCAACTCAGGAAGTACGTATATTTCCCTTTCCAGTTCGGCTTTTTGTACAACGACCATTGTAGGGACCCATCTGATGTTCTTCTGAGTAGAACATCAAGGAAGTGGAATTCTGAGTTCAACTCCGCTTTTATTGTGAACTTAATCAATTGGTAACAATTATTAAACCTTTGAAATATTTTATTTAGGTCGTTATATCATTCACAGATGATAAAGCTATCATCTATATATCTCTTATAAAAATAGAATTCATTCACGCATTTATCAATGATGCCTTTTCACTTCTATTTAGGAATATTTCTATCAAAGCAATAATCTGATAGGAAGTCGGCTAATTTGCAGCCAAACGATTGATTTGAAGGTGGATTTGATGACAAACAGAGATTAACTGGAAAATCACTGTAAACTGTAAAATAATGGAGAGAAATTCCACACATTTATTCAGGGATATGATTAAATAGTGCAATAATTTATCCTAATAATAATTTTTTAGAGACATGGTTACCTCGTTGAATGCCCAAGCATTCACTTCTTAGTCATAGTGGGGACGTAGATCTGGAACTTGTGATGGTTTACACAGTATATTTACCTCAATTTAGAAATATGTACTTAAAACAAGACTGAGTGACGCAGTAGTAAGTGATCTTCAAATTCTGCTGTATGTGTATAAACGCTTCACATTTTATGCATAATTTCAATAATGGCTTGACCAGGCTGAGAATATGAATTGCAAACTTTGAAACTATGTGATAAGCTACTACCAAAAGTGATGTATCATTATTGTTATTGACTCTTATTATCATAAGAGAGAACAAAGATCTTTTTGTTTATAAATGTAGTAATGGTAAAATGCCTTGTTTACAAAAATTCCAGTTAATACAGATACCAGGATTTGTACAGCTTCTATAATCATATGTAACTGTTAGCTACATCATCAAAAAGAAAAGTCAAAACTCATATGCGTGTGTGTAGATTACTTGGAAAAATTAGCGAAATTTATTCTGGTGTCGAATGTGCGTCCTTAAAGCCTACAGAAGCAAGTGACAAGCTTACATGTTTCAAAACTAGTATCAGTTAATAAGATACAAGATTTTTCACTAAAAAGTAATCTATGATAATGCAATGTATTGCGCTAATATATCACATAATTCTGATAAACTTCGTCTTCTCATTGCATTATCGAAATTTATCAAAGGGACTAATTGTTTTACAATCTATGATAGCTAAAATGGTTATATATTGAATACTTTATTGACGTAAAAAGTAGTTTAAATAATTTTATGAGATTACAAAATATCTTCTAAAAGCAAAAACCGATATTCAAGGTGTGAATATGAAAGTTATCATTCCTATCTGACGTCTG